TGGTGTGTTCTTACTGTCATTCTGACTCTTTTGGGAAGGCAAGACAATAATTATTGACCAATTCTATCTTCCAGTAACGATGGTCATCAGTCAGCCACTCATGCCTCGAGGTATTGGAGCCTAGGTGACGTGTCTGAAAATAGATCTCAGAGGAGTTGGTCATGCCGAGAACATGTGTTGTCATCTAAGCTTTTCAAGGGAACTTAGTTCCACGGACACATGTCATCTCCTTGTTGACTCTGATGATGCACAAAAATGATTTTGCACACCACCTGTCAAGTGTAAGTAATAAATGCAGTGAAAGTAATGAGAAAATTGGAGGAGCAAGATTTATAATGGTTCGATCAATTCGACCTACGTCACTCTTAAATGGCTCTAGTTGCCGGGTATTTTATTAATTTAAGGGTATGGAGAACAGAGAATATGAGCTTTGAGGGAGAATCAAGGAAGATGTGATGTCAAGCAATCAGTCTCATCCCTCCCAAGTGTTGATGGGGTGTGCAATTTATAGTAGTCCCCTTAACAGATTAGGGCTACTTTACAGCAACTAAAAGATTATTCTGGTGGAGCTCACGATTTCTTCTCAACGGGCGAGGAGGTGGGGAGCTCTCCATGAGATGCGGTCAAAGATGACTGAGAGTGGACTGTTTCCTTCGGTGGTGCAGATAGAACTTCTCATTCTCTCCCTCTTGATGACGTGGCTAAACAAAAGAGTCTAATTGGTCTTGGACTATATTAGGCTTGGTGGATTTTCAAGAGGTTGGCTCCTCATTTGAGTTTGGACTTCTCACATAAATTGGGTTATTGGGCTTGACCCATCATTTGTCCCCCAATGTCCCGTGTTCAAGTAAAACTTGGAGAAGGAGGCATTGACTCTTCAATGTATTTTTTTTATAGTGCAAACTTCAAGTTTTTCCCACTTTATTTGAAGAGGGCCTATAATTTTTAATTGAGTTTTTCCCTCTTTAAAACCTTAAGCTATAAATATAAACCATCTCCTTCATCCTACCCATTTCATTCACTTTGAGATTGAGCACCCACACCTCTTGAAAACCTTGAGAACTCAAGTCTACCCATTTCGAGTGGAGTTTTCAAGTGGGCAATGTTGATTGAAGAGGGAGTGGTGGAGATCGAAGGGAGAGAGGAGGTAGGCGCCACTTTAGGCGCTGGTTTGGACGGATTTAAGAGAATTTTCTTGGAGTGCAAGGGGCTGCCCATAGGCACTGGAAGGGCTGTCCTGGACAGCTTAGGCGCTGAAAATGTTGTTCTGGACAGCTTGGGCGCACAGAAAAGGGCTGTGACAACTTGAACGCGCAGTACAATGAGCTAGACAGCTTGTGTGAAGTGCTGGACAGCCTTGGAGCGCAAAATAGGGAGCTGGGCAACTTGGGTGCGCAGAGCAGAGAGCTGGACAACCCGCGTGCAGCAAAAAATGGGGCTGTCCAGACCATCAGGCACGCAGCAGATGTGCACAGTGGGCGAGCAGGGAGGCTGGGCAGCAGCCTGGGCTCTGTTTCTGCTGTCCTGGACAGCTCAGACGTGTTGGGCAGCGCGGATTCTGCTGTCCTAGGTAGCTCACGAGCGATGGGCAGCAGTATTTTTCAGCAGAAAGTACAGGAAATTAGTCCAAGGTGCAGCAAGGGAGCTGGGCAGCAGCTTGGGTGCAGGGGCAGGACACCTCTCTAACTATTGGCAGCTCCGTTTTGGCGAGTAAAGGTAGTAAGGCACCCCTCTAAGTGTTGGGCTAGACACTACAAGCGACGAGGGCGACGAGGGAGCTTTAGGTGCCGCTTTTAGTCATCACGATACGACTCCTTCAAATGTGACTTCTCAAATCCAAACCTCTCAAGAGGATGACCTGGGCCACTCCTTGCCGCCTTGAAAGAAGAAGCGAAAAACAAATTGGGACTTGATGACGATGGGTCTAAGGTGAGTACCCTTTTCAGTCTGTTCCATTTAGATGAAGATATCTCGAGACTTGTTTTTCTTACTTATCGCATTCCTCAAACCGTGCTGTGCCGTCGAGCTGAGTTGGGCGAGCTTACTTTGTGATGACAAAAATAATATTTTTTCAAACATTAAAATATCTCACATAATTACCTGGAGAGAAAAAGGTAGCCTGCTTGCGCAAGAGCAAAGACAGAGTTGGAGAACTACTCGTGAGAAAGCTACATCTTTGAGACCTAACTTTTGGCGACCCATGAGGGAGTTTTTTAAGGTTGAGGTATAAGCTGTCTATTTGAGAATAGAGCAAAAGCCAAGCTTTTTTGGCTACCCCCAAGAGAGCCGCTAAGCTAGAGATAGACTGCCTGTTTGAGAACAGTGCAGAGCAAGTTTTTTTGGTGACCGTGAGAGAGTCACTAAGCTGGAGATAGACTGTCTGTTTGAGAACAGTGCAGGGGCCAAGCCTTTTGGCGACCCGTTGAGAGAGCCGCTAAGCTGGAGATAAGCTGTCTGTTTGAGAACAGTGTAGAGGCACAAGCTTTTTTGGCGACACTATGAGAGAGCCCTAAGCTGGAGATAGGCTGCCTATTTGAGAACAGTGCAGGGGCCAAGCTTTTTTTGGCGACCCGTGAGAGAGCCGCTAAGCTGAAGATAAGCTGTCTGTTTGAGAACAGTGCAGAGGCAGGTCAAGCTTCTGTGATCTGTGAGATGATTCACCTTGCCTAAACCTGTTGATTTCCTCAACATTCATATATCTTTGAACTTTTGCCAATATTTTTTGTATGCTCTTTGTGGTTGCTTCATTACTGAAAAAAGGAAGCTTGATGAACGGAGGCTACCCAAGAAGGCGGTCATCATTACCTTGTCGTCGGGTTCATCAACTTGGAGTACCTCCTCGTTAAAACGAGTGAGATAACTCCTCAGACTCTCCTTGTGGTCCTGCTTTTATACTGCAGGTGCGTAACAGGCTTCTGGTGGCGACGCCCTCCAATGAAATGTGAAACGAATGATCTGTTAAGCTCAGCGAAGGAGGCAATGGAAGTGGGGGAGAGCTTAGCAAATCACTGTCGGGCAGACCCCTTTAACGTGGTTGGGAATACCCTGCACATGATTTCGTTTGGTACGTTGTGCAGTTGCATCAAGTCTTGTAAGTGTCAGGTGGTCCAGTGGATCCTTAGTTCCATCAAAGGTCTCCACAGATGACATTTTGAACTTCTGAGGGAGGGGGTAATTTGCTATATCAGGCTTGAAAGGCGTATCCGTACGCCTTACCAGGTGGTCTATAGTTTCGGGTCCCTGTGCCTTCATGGCGTTGAAGACATCACTTAGTTGATTTTGTACTTCTTTGATTTTCTCGTCCCAATGATTGAGGACTTCTCTGGAATGATCATGAAAATGGACTTTCGTGCTCGATACTTTGGTTTTTGCCCTCATCCTCTTGGAGATAAGGGTCCTCTCCATGGGAAGCAAGATTGTATGATCGATAGAATTCAGAATATAAATATATTAAGATGTATTTCACTATCCATAAAGGAGACGATCGGCCCAAGTTGCAGCCCTCTATCCAACATTGTTTGCAATAGTACTGCATTTTGAGTTTGATAATCAAACTTGGAATAGCGGTTTGTAGTACAATGTCTAGGCTTGAAGGCAAGTTGTTGGACCACTGACCCACCATTCAAAGGGGTTAAGGGTTATGGTTGTGCCTTACCTCGAATGCAAAACAGTGAAGCCAGTGGAAGGTTTGGTGCTATGAGATGTCTTTTATGGATGCTGATATTATTAAACATAGGGGCCATCACTACATGTCAAATAAAATAAAACCAACATAGCCTACATCAGTCATCTATAATATAAAATAGAATAAGATTCAATAAATTTTTCTGACGGTCTCAAATAAACTCATTTACCGACCATTAACATCTCTTAAAATCGTTCATATTATATCGTATCTTCAAAAATAAGTTATTCCTAGTATTTTATATATAATTCAATTACTTAACTTAAAATCAAATACATTATCACTATCATTATTGTTCTTGAAGAAGCAATAAATTTCAAATAATGTCGAGATCCATTATTTTTTATTTTTTTACTATTTAAAAGGGTTATAGATGGGGTGCCTATGGGTCGGGTAGGGTTAGACCCATGAAATCTTTTTGAGCGGAGTCTGGGCAAGGTAGGTCCAACCCGAGAGAGTGATCGATTAGTCAGGCCGAGTCGGACTTCTAATAGAGATAGGCTACCTGCAACCTAACCTTTCACCCATTTGGCGGGCCTTTTTTTATATTTACGTCTTCATTTAAAAAAAATTAATTTAGTATTTTTATAAATTATATTTTTGAATTAAAAATATGTTCAAAATGGATAAAAAGTAAATAATTAATAATTTTATTTGAGACGAATTATTTAGAATTTAAGTAAATAATGAATAATGAATAATACTCTAGATTACTCAACATAGTATTTAAGTAAAAAAATAAAAATTAGAGGAATATACCACTAAACTTTCAATTGCCAAATTTCTTTTCAAACTAAGTGGGTGGAGTGACTGACAGGCTGGGTTGGGCGGATGGGTTTGTTTGTAGGTGAGCTCATGAGTTGGATAATGAGTTTGGGGCATGTTCTCTTTTAAAAGATAGTGTATTAAACTCGGGTTTTGGATAGACCAATTATCGAGTTTCAAATTTAATTTTTATTGGCTTGGGTAACATGAAATTCCTATCCACATATGACCAAACAGGAAATATGTGGATAGAAATATTCACATATTCCTATCCACAAGTTTATCTTTTGTGAATGACCAAACATGAAGTTCCTATCTATCCACATATGACTATAGTCTATAGCAACTCATATCTTTTGAGAATTCGTGAAGTGATCCATTTAGTACATGAATTCATTCAATAGGAAACAATTAATAAATGAATTGTTATTCCGGGACTATCAATTCGACTGCCAACCATTCACCGTCTTAATTTCTCTCTTCTCTTCTGCCTTACTTAATTGAACTTGACGTGATACATCTCTTCTTCTACCACTACCAACAACTCAAGAATTAAAATCTTCTCCCCTTTTTACCTCCATGGAGTCAAGCACCAATGAGGTAGTCCATGAGTTCCCTCGCCTATTTCGCATCTACAAAGACGGCCGCATCGAGAAATTGTCAGTCACCGACTTTGTCCCCCCGTCCGACGACCTAAAAACCAGCGTCCGATCCAAAGACGTCGTCATTTCGCCCGAACCCACCGTCTCCGCCCGCCTTTTTCTCCCCAGAACCACCAATCCAGACCAGAAACTCCCCCTTCTTATCTACATCCACGGCGGCGCTTTCTCTATCCAATCACCCTTCTCTTCTGTCTACCATAAATACGTCAGCTCTCTTGTTGAACTCGCCAATGTAATCGCCGTATCAATCGACTACAGACTAGCTCCAGAACATTCTATCCCTGCTTGCTACGATGATTCGTGGGCAGTCATGGAGTGGGTGGCTCTGCATGCTAATGGTGGGCAAGGACCTGAACCTTGGCTGAACGATCACGCTGACTTCCGGCGGGTTTTCTTGGCCGGAGACAGCGCCGGAGCCAACATTGCGCATGAAATGTTGGTCCGAGCTAGCAATGCCGACCAAGTGTTTGATAAAATGATTGTGGGAATGGTTTTGAATCAACCCTTTTTTGGGGACGACGAACCTAATAAACTATGGATGCTAATTTGCCCAGAGACCAGTGGGTGTGATGATCCAAGGATAAACCCTGCTGCTCATCCGAGTTTGTTGGCAAAGCTTGTGTGCAAGAAGGTTCTGGTTTGTACTGCAGAGAAAGATTTTTTAAGGCAGAGAGGGTGGACATACTATGAAGCATTGAGGAGTAGTGGGTGGGGTGGGGTGGTGGAGATTGTGGAGACCGAAGGGGAAGAGCATGTGTTCCATTTGCTCAAACCAAGTTGTGAGAAATCTGGGAGGCTGATGAAACAGGTTGCTTCCTTCTTTAACCAGGACCACGGCTCTTAAGAATACATAATAAGGTTCCACTTTGATACCAAAAACTCTTTTTTCTTTTTCTTTTTTCTTTTTTCCTTTAATCCAATCAAAAGATGACTTTTTTAAAGTCATCTGAATTGTATCGTTTGATTTTATGTTGTAATTTTGTACAATTAACGAGTATAAATAATTCAAATCAAGATCTAGAGCAGGGAGTCATCATCAGATATATTATTAAGAAATTATTTGCCACTATTATATTGTTATGCTGATTTATTGGGTACGCTTGCTCTGTTTGAAACTGTAGCTAGGGCAGGTAAACAAGTTGAACTATGCGGATTTGTCAAGTTCATTCTTCTACACGAAACTTAAAAATTCATCCAATAAACCTTAGGGTCCAATAATTTCATAAAGAATTGTCAAACAGATGGTCCAAATACGTCCATCTCCTCGAAACAAATATCTCTCTCTCTCTCTCTCTCTCTCATTTTTATTTTTATATGATTCCTCATCTTTTGTAAACAAGAGCTCTGCTTGAACACTTCTCTTTGTTGTCTCTTCATTTTCTCTGCAATGGCTTCAAGTACAAATGAAATAGTCCACGAATTCCTTCCCATGATTCGAGTCTACAAAGATGGTCGAGTTGAAAGACTGGTGGGCAACGACGTCGTCCCGGCATCAGTGGATCCTAACACCGGAGTTCAATCAAAAGACATCATAATCTCACCGGAAATCGGTGTAGGTGCTCGGCTTTTTCTGCCCAAAAACGCCGATCCACACCGGAAACTTCCTCTCGTGGTTTACTTTCACGGCGGTGGCTTTGTCATTGAAAGCGCTTTCTCTCCGACGTTCTATAATTATCTCAATTCACTAGTAGCAGAAGCAAATGTCGTGGTAGTGGCTGTCGATTACAGGTACGAGTATCAATTTTATACGTCAATACAAGATTATGATAGGCTTGATAGATAGCAATAGAAAATATTTTGATAAATTACACTTTTAGTCCTCGAAGTATACATGCAGTGTCTATTTAGTCTCAAATCTTCTAATTATGTTTATTTGGTCCCTAAGGTTCATAATTTGTATTTATGTGGTTCAATCCCAAACGTTCGTCAAAAAATCGTTAACGTCTCTAGTCACGCACAATTCATATGAGATCAAATAAACACAAATTATGAACTTTAAGAACTACATAGACACAAAATTAGAAATTACGTGATTGTCGTGTGACTAGAACTATCACGATTTCTTAACGGATGTTTGAGATTGAACCACGTAAGTACAAATTAGAAACCTTAGGAACCAAATAAATACAATTAGAAGATTAAGAACTAAATAGACATTATCCACATACTTTAAGGACTAAAGGTATATTTTACCCAAAATATTTCGTTATTGTAAGGAAATTTATTTGTAGTCGTAAATGTTGATTTAATGTATTTATGGTCATTAATTATAAAATTATAAAATAAAACAATAAGAATTCTTTGCACATATGACTGCCATTTTTTAAAACATAATTTTTTAGTATAATTATAAAATCCGATATATGAACATGAACACGATGTATCCAACATGACACGAATTCAAATAGCATTACTTGAGGTCTCTCCTATACTTTTTGCTTCAATTTCTTTTAAAATTCGATCACCCAATATTAATCAATGTAGAATTCAGTAATTAAAATGAAAATAACGTGATCTAAAATATTTTGATAAGAATATAGCACGACACAACTCAATTTACACTCTTTTTATTTACAGGCTAGCCCCGGAGCACCCTCTTCCTATAGCTTATGAAGATTCATGGGTCGGCCTCAAGTGGGTTGCTTCCCATGTCAAAGGAGATGGCCAGGAGTCATGGCTGAAGGACTATGTTGATTTTGAACGTGTGTTTTTTGGAGGAGACAGTGCAGGTGGGAACATAGCACACAACATGGCCATGCGGGTCGGGTCAGAGAAATTTGACGGTATCAGTATTGTTGGGTTGTTTTTAATCCACCCATTCTTTTGGGGTGAAGAACCAATTGGTAATGAATGTGCTGATATCAAAATTGCTGCCAAAGCTTACGCTGATAACTTGTGGCGTTTTGTGAACCCATCGACAGTTGGGTCCAATGACCCATTTTTAAATCCGGCTACTAACCCGAATCTTTCAAGCCTAGGGTGCACTAGGGTCCTGGTTTTTGTTGCTGAGGAAGACTTGGTGAAAGATAGGGGTTGGTATTACAAGGAGGTATTGGCCAAAAGTGGGTGGAAAGGAAATGTTGAGGTCATGGAGGCCAAGGGAGAGAACCATGTTTTTCATTTGCTTAATCCCACTTGTGAAAATGCTTTGGCTATGCTCGAGAGAGTTGCCTCCTTTTTGAATCAAGACAAAGTCTAGGTTTTGGATGGAAGGATTGATTTCTTGTTTAAATAATATCAATCCATGTTTAGGGTGAATGACACTCCTATACTATACTTTAAAAGATCGAAGATCGATGTTCAATAGTGTTTAATAAAAAAGAATATTAAAGTCTAAAAATTGAATGTTGAATTTTAAGTGTTAAATGCTGAATTTATAATTCGTAGACTATTTAGTACCAACTGAAATTTAAGTACTCAATTGAGCGAGATTATATGATAAGAACATCGAGCTAACATTTGAAAATAAATTGCTTTCCACTATTATCCCTCCATTCTTAACTTTGAAATTATTTATGAAATGCGTATTTATCTAATAAAAAAAATACGATATATCACTAAAAATAATTCGTAACATAAATTACAATCACTATCATTACATTATAATCTACATTTAAGAAGCATGATAACAAAATTAACTCAAGTTAAATTGATCACTTAAAAGTCGTCAATTATCATAAAATTCAACTTGATCCATTTAAATTCTAACTGACATTTTTTAGTGGTAACTTCACACCAAATAAATTATAATAAGTCACTATTTAATTATAACTCTCGAGTATTTTTATGAGATTACAATCTTGTCAGATATCAGTAGCCATTTTTTAAAAAAATAAAATATTTCAGTTATTTATGAATGGGTTTGCCAAACTTTGAAATCAGAATGAATGTTGATTTTTTTTAGCCGAAGGAATTTGATTTGATTAAATTTAATAAGATTCTTTGATTAAATCGTAGCTTCACACCAAAACCTTGATTAAACTTCGATTCGAAAACTTTGACCACAGAAAAAAATAATTGTGTTATTTCTGTGCGTGTGTGCTCGTGTGATTCTATGTATGTGTGGGTTTTGCAGGGTGATTACTGTGTGTGTTTGCGTATGTGTGTGGGCGTGCAGTGGGGGTGTGTGTGTGTGTGAGTGTTTGTGTATGATCTGTGTGGGTGGTGGGCCTTTGTGTAGTTTAGTTTGTATGTTGATTCGGATGATGACCTGGCCTGAAGTAATGCTGCATGGTTTTTTTTAATGGGAAATTTTTTAGTTTGTAATTTTTAGGCCTGTTTTGTTGCTTGGTGCGTAGAACATATAAAAAATTATTATTTCGGTGATTAGGTTTGATCGAAGTGTATAGCTGCTCTCTGTAATTCTCTCTCTCAATAGTGAAATCCCTGAAACTTTGTGGATGTAGGCAAATTGCTGAACCACGTAAAATTTGTGTGTCTTGTTCTTTTTTGTTTCTTATTGTTTTATGTTTTTAATTTATTCTTTAATTGTATGTGTTTGTCTATAGATTTAAAGCGTATTAAATCCCAACTGGGTGGGTGTTTGTGTTGTATTGTATATATGTGTGTAAAAAAAAGGAAGTCCAAAGCCCAGCTCTCATTCATTAAAGATGCCACAGCCTTCTTACAAAGATGGGTTGCGTCTCCATAATCTCCACCGCGCTACCCCACCTCCAACCACTCTTCCTCAACCTCTCATAATGAAACCAACCCATCCCTCTCAAGTGTCAACCCATCCTTTTCTCTGCCAAAATGACATCACCTACTTTAGGATGAGGGGGACGAAAATAATTCACAAGTTAATACCGAAAGAAAATTGAGTACAAGAATGACAAAGTAGACTAAAATTCAAGACAAAATTATAAAAAAATTAATTGTTATTTTGTCTAAACAAAATTTGCACAAAAGACATAAAATAACTTTTTCTTAGTATATTTTAACTAAAATCATTTATTATAGTGAAATAGAACATTCTTTAAAATCCTTAAGATTTTTTATAATTGATTACTTGTAAGCTAGATTTATCACCAATTTCCTACCAATGCGCACAATCATATATTCCGTAATAAAATCATTCTTTATATAGTTGCAAAAGATAATTGAGATCGTGCTCGTTCTTATTGAGAAATTGTATATTTGAAATAACATAAAATAATTTTGGGTTATAAAATGTAACTTTTGCATTCAATCGTGTTTTATTAGGTATAGATTACAAACAAACTGAAAAATAGTAAATGATAACTACACAATTGTTTTTAAAAAATAAAAAAGCGTTGCATTAAATAAAATATAATTATTGTCTAAAACAAACACGTACAAAAGACTTTGATGCTTACTCATCCTCCTCCAAATGACACCTCCACTCTTGTTTCATACATGAGTCATCCATTTACACTCCATCCACTTAATTATCAACTAGACTTCAATCATTTTATTATTTGTTTTACTCAATAAATTTCGATCCTATTAAAATTTATAATAATCAAATATTTCATAATTAAATTATAATGTATAATTTAATCTCAAATATTGTTCGTATCCTAATAATACCACGAGGCCCATAAAATTTTTGATTATTAAATTGCTTTCAAGTTGAGATACGATGGTCACAGATTCGATCATAACTGATTTAAATTTAATTTTAAAAGTGCAATTCATTAATCCCATGGATCAGGATTAATAAACACCAGATTAGGTGCAAACGAAAAAAAAAATGTAAGGACTTCTGACCTACCACCAAAGCCACATGCATATCCCTCCATTGTTGACCCAAAATATGTATATACTAGGGATAATCTGTGCCTAAAGGCAAGGTGCAATTAAAAAAAAATGAGCATTGAACTCAAATGGGTACCAAGTTGAAAGACTAAATTACCCTTTAACTCATGCCTGAAGACACTGTGCAATTCAAAAAAAAAAAACATTATTCTTGAACATAAAACAATCAAACACTAAACGTAAACATGCATTAAACTGAAAGTCTAAATTGTATTTTTAGACTATAAACCCCACATGACATTCCGTAAGTTTAATAGGATCAATCAAATCAATTTGTGCCTATACAAAATACCAAGTAAAATGGATGAGGTTGAAAAATAAAAATGCTCTTTTTATTCATCTAAAGCCAACTTAAAACTATTCTTTAATACATGAACCACAACAAATGCACCATATGAATACTTGAAAAAGTGACATGTCAAACATAAAATTGTGTGATACAACTACTTTCTCAATAATTTAGAAACAATCCATAAAATTTTTCAATCGCCAACAACTTCCATCACATAACAAAATGACATTTACTATTTTTAAATCAATGTCTAATCCAATAAATCAACAAAACCCATATCACAAGTATGTAGAAATTACTACCGGTGAAAAAAATTTTACCCTCCACAACCTTTATAATAATCTCTTATAGACTCGAATCTGCGCAACAATAATCGAATTAGTAATTCACTCAATGTTAATTGTTCCAAAATGTCAATTCCAAATCTCAAAAAGCAAGAAAGAGATAAAATGTTAATTGAAATTTTCATGCAAATTAATTTGGGGAAATGAATGAAGGTTATTATTTGGGTGCAATTACCAAACCCAATTACGTCAAATATTAAACAAATGTAGTATCAAAATTATGCAGAATTACTTCAAGATTTGTCTCTAGCACGTTGTTTTATAAAGAAACGTAATAAGAGAGAGATTATATTCCAAAACAATGTTAATTAAAAATGTAATTGAATAATTCATAACTTTAACTTCAGGATTGGATTGAATATATAAAACTCATCTATGCAAGGCAAAAATTTATACATAATAAAAAAAAAATCAAGGGATATATTGCCTAGCAATCATGGAGAGCATGAAAGCAAAATAAAACAAAATCATGATTCGAGTACAGAAACTCAAGATTGGCCGTAACCCCCCCCCCCCCCCCCCCTCCCCTCCCCCAAAAAAAAATTGTGGCAACCTGACACTTATATCATCACTTTTGGAAACATCCTAGTGCTGATCATAAAATGCAAGATCTCAAGAAGAACGACCATGATGCGGGGCATCATGTCTTTACAGCAGAATGACAGGTTTTCTCATAAATAGCATCAGTTGGGTTTCAACAACAGAACAGAGAAACACCATCCAAACCTAAGACAAAGGCCAGATAAAGGTCAGGATAAGGCAAGGTAAAAGGCACAAACAGTAAAATCACTTGGAAATTCTTTTTTACTTACATAAGCACTCAGTCATGGAGACCTAAATTTGTAATGAACAACTATCAAAGCAGTGAACAGAGGATAATTTCTGGAAAAACCAATAAAGGGGGATTTTCACTACCTCGTTATAAATAGTAGTTCCAGATGCAACACGAAGAGCTTCAACTTCGTCACCCCACATCCGCATGGAATACAACAGACACTTCTCTACAGATGAATAAAAAACAAAAAGCAAAAAGTAAAAGGTGAAAACACACAGCAAGGAGTCAAGTCGCACAAAAAATAGTCAATGCAACCAATATCGACACATTCGGCATACCAAAGTCTTATCCCAAGTTTCAAGCAAATTGAGGTGGAGAACGTGAAATACTCAACACCCAAACATAAATCTTGATCTTAAGATATACTACACCGCAACAATAATTTCGAATTTTTTCAGTAGACAACATAAAGAGTGGGAACTTGTGGTATGTAGAATCAAAGGGACACACAAAGATAGACACTTGCAAACCTAAGCAAATTAATAAAAAATAAATAAAGGACAAACATTGCAAACATAATTAAATGAAATCTAATCTTAAAATATTCCAGAAACATACAGAATTGTCACTACAACCAATGGCAAGATACTGACTCTCCTCATGCGAAGAAGACACCGAGTCCTACAACCAATTCAAATGTAAATTAGTAGAATAAGCACAATAAGAAATTGAAATTTTAAAGATCACATAAAAAGAAAATTTGAATGATTAGTAGAGTGAGCATACTTATCCCTCGATTTATTAGTGAACCAGCTCTCCAGTTATTAGAGAGAATTGGTCTAAAGTAAGAGCATAATTAACCTAAAAACATGACCAAAAATTACCTTTAAGAAGTGAACGTCCAACACCCAATGATTTAACTTTGGCAGTGACAGCAAAAGAATCAAATCCACCATGGATACTTGAGGCTTATTTTGCGAATTGATCACTATTTCAATACGTAAACAGAACATTTTCACTTTTCTGTCACCAAAGACAACAATCTTGACGGCAAGCGTAGAAGTGGATGATTGTTGATGAAATTTCTCTAAACAAATTCCATGAACACGTATTCCTTCAAAAACTTGTAACAATCTTATCATCACTCCTGTCACTAAATCATGAAGCAGAAGTTGTGAACCTGTTCCTGTTGTAAAAAAGATCGCAAGAAGACTGTCAGGAGTTGCTTAATCTGTAGAACTCACAATGGCAAATTAAAAATCTTCTGATCTTTGAGATTTAGTTGTTTTTGGAAGGTGATCTTTGTTAAATCACACTAAGAAGCATATGTGCAATTATTTGAGTTATCTTTTTATCCATGGCCAGATCTCTTTTGCACTATTAGAAGCCATGGTTCAACTGCTGGTGTGTCCTCTCATAGTAGTTTATGCATTCCACCATATCTTTCTTTTTGCACGAAGAGTGACGTACATATGTTTGCGTGCGATTGCGCATAATGATAGAATATGAGTCTACGAAAGAGAAAAGAAAAAAAGAACACACCGGCGATGGGTGGACAAAACAGAGGGCTGAGATTTATCCCAGGTACTGCCCTCTTTGTAGACGCCACTCGCTACTCCTTCCGGTCAAAACTACTGCTGCTGCAGCTTCTTCTTCTTCAAGTGCTGACAGCAGCGGCGGTGGTGGTGTTGCCGACGAAGTGGCGGTGTACGTATTGGATCTATATATCGAATTCTAATTTGCATGTCAATTAAAAAATAGGACTGAATGATATGTACTCGTGGTAATGACGAAATAGTAAAATTGTATTAGAATAAATTTTTTATTGTTAGGAAAGAAATTTTTTGTTTTTTTTTTAATTTTTTTCCACGTTATTTTTCTAATGACCACCAAATAAATGTGAAATAATAATAATTTTAAATTTATTTCGTGGAATAAATAATTGTATAATATATAATTTCATATGTTTTATGGAATAAATAATAACAAAAACAACACAGGAAAAACCAAAAAAAATAAATAATAGTATGAGAGACAGAAAAAGTATAAGACAGAGAGAATTATATGAGAGATGAAGGTTTTACGGTTATAAAAGGAATAAAATTCCAATTAATACCATGAGATCTAATGTGCAATAATTTCACGTTCTTTTCTTTTTTATTGTTTCGGTTTACTTCTATCTTCTTCTTTTTCTAGTTTCATTCTTTTCTATTTTTTCTTGTTTTGACATACTTGTTTCATTTTTAGTTTTTTTTTTTGTTTCAATTTTGCTTGATTTTTTTTTCTTGTTTCGTAAAATATTTATGCATTCAAATAATAGTTTTTTTTATTTATTTTTTCTGCCAATAACTTCTTTCATTAAAATAGTATACATAAAATGATTGAACTTAATTATTAATAGGGTGTATATAACATATGATAGATTTAATTATTAATGAAGTGAGTATAAAAAAAATAGATTTAATAATTTAATAATAAGAAACTAAACGGGTGGAAATAATCTCAGCCTTTAAATTATTGCACATTAGATCAATGATAGCCGCCTGTACTGTACAGTAGCATCACGAGGTCAGATTCATTTGTTTATTTAACAAAATAAATATTCTAATTATGTGATGGGGATGGGGATGGGGATGGGGATGGGGATGGGCACGTATTAAATCTTGGGTTATTTTAGTTATACTTTGATCGATAAACAGATTATGCTAATCTTTAAATTATTCTTCAAGAAGTGGAGAATATGTAAAATGCTAAGTCAGTCGTCCAACAACAGCCGTTGACGCCAAATAAATCTCTAAGAAGACCCCTGCCTGCTTCAACATCCTTCTTTCTCTCTCTTTATTTTCTCTGCAAAATGGAGTCAACTACAACTGAAATTCTCCATGATTTCCTTCATCTCATGCGAGTTTACAAAGATGGTCGAATCGAAAGATTGGAGGGCAACGACGTCGTCCCTGCATCAGTGGATCCCATCACCGGAGTTCAATCAAAAGATGTCGAGATTGCGCCGGAAATTGGTGTCGGCGCTAGGCTTTACCTGCCGGCCAACGCCGACCAACAACACAAACTTCCTGTCCTAGTTTACTTTCATGGTGGTGGCTTTATGGTCCAGAACCCTTTCTCCCAGACATACGCTACTCATCTGAATGCCCTTGTTTCACAAGCAAACATTGTGGTAGTTTCGGTCGATTATAGGTAACTGCGTTAATTTTACGCATTAATACGACGTTCGAATGTTGGTAACTTTATAGAGTCAATCCATATGAAATTTATACAGATGAATACTTAAGTCCGGTGTGGATGAACTATACAGTTGATCGGACCAAAACGGATAAGTCGAGGTGCGCACAAGTTAGTTTGGACACCTTCGATAGTTGAGCAAAAAAATAATAATAGACTTTTGTGTTTAGGGGTAATGTGTAACTAAGGTGGTCTATGTGTAATTTATCTTTACTGAAAAAAATCTTGCGTGAATGATTTAGAATCAACTAATTTTTCAGTATTTTTTTTTTTTGTTATTGAATTTTTTCTGTATTCAAAATGCGATACAAATACCACAAAACATGACTCAATTGAAACATCCTAAATTATTACTAAACAGGTTAGCCCCGGAGCACCCTCTCCCAGTTGGTTATGAAGATTCATGGGTTGCGATCAAGTGGGTTGTTTCCCATTTCAAAGGAGACGGCCAGGAGCCATGGCTGAAGGACCATGTTGATTTTCAACGTGTATTTTTTGGTGGAGATAGTGCAGGTGGAAACATAGCACATAACATGGCCATCCGGGTCGGGTCAGAAAAACTTGACGGTATCAATATTCTTGGATTGATTTTAAACCATCCATTCTTTTGGGGCGAAGAACCAATTGGTAATGAAGATGCTGAGACAAATTATCCCGACAAAGCATTCGTGGATCGCTTGTGGCGGTTTGTGAACCCATTGACAGTTGGGTCAGATGACCCGATGTTGAACCCGGCTAAAAATCCGGATCTTCCAAGCCTAGGATGTAGTAAGGTGCTGATTTGTGTTGCTGAGGAAGATCTGTTGAGAGATAGGGGTTGGTATTATTATGAGGTATTGGACAAAAGTGGGTGGAAAGGAAAGGTTGAGATTATGGAGACCAAGGGAGAGAACCATGTTTTTCATTTGTATAATCCCACTAGTGAAAGTGCAGTGGCTATGGTCAAAAAAGTGGCCACTTTTTTTAATCAGCACAAAGACTAGTCTTTGGATTTGTAAAATAAGAAATGTTTTCCGGTATCTGAGTTCAATATCATATTAATATAATATTATGATTTTGTTTGGTGAAGTTACGATTTTCTCTGGATTATGATTCATTCTAATATTTTAAAACCATCTAACCGACATCATTTTGTCACTATATTGAACCATAACCCTACTTTTCACATAAATTTGGTTTTTTTTTCTCTCTTAGCAAAATTGAGTGTGTAGACCATACTTGTAGAGTAGAACTGATTTTTTTTTTTTTTTTTCAAAAGAGGGGTTTGAAAAGTAAAATGAAAAAACCAGAGTTAGAAATTTTTTGGAATATTTTCGAAAAAATTGACTTTTCCTTTGAAATCGTTGGATAAACTCTATTTTTCAACGTTTCCTTGGTGCTAATAGAAAATGTTTTTACTCAAAAAGTAGATGAAAAAATCGCCCAATAAGCCCAAATTCAAATGGACCAAACTTCTTTTCCTCTAAAATCAAAAATAACTGAAGTTTTCAGCCAACTCCAATCAGACCGTTGTCTTAATTTTTAGGGGTTAATTTCATGAATGCCATCCCATAATTGTGTGGTATCAGGACTCGTATTTTCTATAAAGTTATAAGCTATCATATCTTTTGTAATATTTCATTTAAATTTAATTCCGATCTACCTCTATCATAGGCATTATGACCAAAAAATTACAGATCATCTTTTCTCACAGGTGCAATGATAAATCTCGAGCATTGCTATGTAACTCAAATTTGAGATTTCAAATGGCATCAAAGATTAATAAGGATCATTGGATTGGTGGTTTCCAACATTCTTGTTTGTATTGTGATAATATGATATTGTTGTACACCAAAAAATCAATTATAATGTATATTGGATAGTAGAATAAAAGAATATGGATTGAACTTTATTTCTTAATATAAATATAAACATAGAAATAGAAAATCGTATATAAGTGTACTACTAATAAATGAGTTCAGAAAAATTTAAAAACCAAATACGGTTAATAAAAAATTCTAAAAAAACTTAGAAGACAAATATATAAAGAAAATAAAAATTGAATGAAAGTAATATAGAATTTAAAAGTCAAATATTGTTAATAAAAGAGTTTAAAAGAACTTAAAAATTAAATAAATATAAGAAATAAAAATTAAAGAAAACTAATATATGGGTATTATTGACTTTATAATAAAAGCTATGGATAAAATAGAAAATGAAATTTTTTGAACAAATGTTGATATTTATAAGTAGTATAAATTTAAATATAGATAAATGTATATGAATTACGAAGAGAGTAATTCTAATATAACAATATTATGATTGAAGAAAAAAATACCCAAAAAAGAAAAAGAAAAAACTCATATAAATGGATACCCCCGTACTTTGCATATATGCTCAACAAAGTGTTACTTATATGACGATTCTCGTGAAAACAAATTTCAATGAAGAGATGGAAAAAATTCAACTTTAATAATCAAAGTTTCATAAATTTAAACTAAAAATGCATATAATGATATACCTAATTAGAATTAACATAGCCATCGTACAGTCGAAGTTCAACTAAAAAAAAATTAGAACTAGCATAACAATAGTCCCAATAAATATTTACTCAGATGTCAATTTACTCTATATTGCATTACAGATAAATTTAGTATCCAAGTAAGCTGCAAATTAGGTTTGGTAACCCAAGATTAAAATTTTAGCCCAAACATAAAATTTGAAGATTCTTTGAACTATTTTTTCCAAATTCTGGACATCAATCCCTCTCAAACCCACATAACAACCAGGACCTAAGAGTGTAAAATGAGAATTTAAAAAACATTTAGGATATAAAGTGTAAAAAGCCCAAATAATTATATATCTACAATGTGGAAAGAGGTTTTCCATCAAGAAGATGCTATGAAATTTCCATCTAAACCCAAAATTTCCATCCCGCTATGTACGGCTACGCGTGAAATTAAAAGACAACATTTTAAGTAATTATTATTGGTCCCTACATTTTAGTCCTTGTCGTAACAAGTTGCAAAGAAAAAATCATCTAAACAGGAAGTCTCTAAGAAATAGAGATTAAGAAACATGTAGCTTTCATGACTTATCACATCACATCGTGTTATTTTTTGGTGTTATATTGAATTAAGAATTAATACTATGTATTTTTTATTAATTTAGTTCTTATTGTATCAATTTTATCAATTTGATCGCTAAAGTAATCAATTTATGTCACTTTAATCCCTACATAGATGAAATGTCAAATTTTTTTGACATAAGCGATCATATGCCATTTTTTTTAAGATGATATCACATGCTCGATAGGGGTGTGTGTGTATGTGTTTATCTATTTATACTATCAGTAAAAGTGTTTTAGATTAAAAACTTTTAAATCTCTATTTTACTTTTAGAAAAGATTGTAAAAATCATTTTATCCTTTCACAATTAAATATCTAAATTACTATCATATCCTTATATATTTAAATCTCCAAAATAACTATAACATCTCTTTTAATTATTTATTTTTTATATATAAATAATTATTTTTTGATTAACTATATTACTCTTAAAAAAATATGCATTATTATATTTTTAATAAATTATTCGAAAAAACTTCAAAAACTCCATCTTTTTAATATTACTCATCATCCTATATATATATATATATATATATATATATATATATATATATATATATATATATATATATATTATTTTTCATTGAAAACATGAACCCTTTCATTTTTAAGATAAAAAATAATCAGATATAAATTTTTTTTAAATTAATTTATGTTATATCAATATAATTCTTCAATCACAATAAATTTTAGGATAAATTACACTGACATTCATGTAGATTAGTCTAATTACATGGACACTTCCCCAATTTTTTTAAATTACACTGATACCTCATGTTAGGTCTTGTCCCTTAACAAATACAATAAAAAATACGATTTTTTATAATTACTCTTACCATACATCATTTTTTTTACTTATCATTCTCTTATATATTTAAATATTAATAAATTGGTCATTTTTGGATTAAATCCGTCAAACATGAAATTGACGCGATCAACCCATTTTATATAATCGTGTCGAATTTCCTCTATTTTCTCGTTTGCATATTAATACGAACAATACGGAATTGCAATGATCCATATGTTTAACTGATATTATAAAAATAAAATATTAAGTATTTGATGTTGATTATTTAGCACTAACATAATTATTGAATAAAAAAAGATATTTTTACTCATTATTATTTCTATGTTTATTAAGTTAATTTTTAGTTTATAGAAAAAGTATGAGAATTGATTCAATTAAGTAATAATAGAACCTTAGACTTAAATTTTAACATTAAATTTTTTCATTTAAAGTTTATATGAGTCAACACGAATACAAACACACATGTACGGGTAGCTCAGCAGTGTGGAGTTGAACCCAGACAAACCATAGACTCGAACATCAGGTGTTTGACTTTCGTCGGTGTTTCTCGAACTTAATTGATACATATGATTTGCGGGTAATTGCAGGTATTTGGGGTATACTATCGCAAGAATGGGTCCAAAGTGGTCTTACCTTGGAGAGGTTCCACATTATAAAAAAGAAATATGAATGCGAATACGAACACGAACACGAACACGATACGAAAATAAATAGGCTAATCTAATTTTATTCAGGCGTAATATGAGTATTAAAGTATAAATAGTTTATGATGTAATCACTTTTTTGACATTGCCAATAACGATGATAACCATAGGGATACTTTGTAAAATGGGTAGGTAAATAGTAAGGGAAGTCGGTGTAATTTCAAAAAATTGAGGGGTGTCTCTGTAATTAGACCAATGTACGGGGATGTCAATGTAATTTACCCTAAACTTTATAAGTTGTACTAAGATTTTTTTTTTTATAAAAATAAATATCGTAATGTATTTCTAAGTAAAACTTGAATTCTTTAGAATTTTAAGATATTTGATAATATAAATTATAGAGCAGTATGTTAAATCTTTTTTCAATTGACCTAACTTATTTTTAATTGCCGTAAGGTTCAAATGTGATTAGTATATTAACAAATTAATTTTATTTTATTTAATGAATTATAATTGAAATCGTAATTAAATGAATTTCAAGAAATTTAATTTCCCAAACATAACTAAAAAAATCAATCTTAATCACAAAATTTAAAAATATAGGACTTTAACCTTTTTTTTTATAATTAGTACAAATAATTTTGGGAATATATAAAATTTTCATAATCTTATAATAGAATATAAAAAATAAAAAATTAAAATTTGTAAATTTGAGATGACATTTAATTCAAATATATATATACCTAATATATTTTATTAATTTTTGCATACAACAATTATTCACGTGCAACGCACGTAGTGCATTTCTAATAAATATAAAAGATTGTAGATAACTTTACTACTAATAAAATGAGTTCAAAAGAATTTAAAAGTACTTATAAAAGTGTTCAAAATAAATTGAAAGTCAAATTTGAGTAAATAAAAGTATATAGGTGGGTATAATTGACTTTATTATAACAATTAGGGATAAAATGGGAAATAAAAAATTTTCATAGATGTTGACATTTATAAATAGTATAGATATATATTTTTTTTAAATAATTTTTTTGGTACATGGGCTGAAGAAATAAGTTCAAACTACCTAATTTAAATCTAACTTGGGTTTCAATTTTTATTTTAGATTAGTGGTCATAATTATAAATTGTGGGCCCCAGTTAAAAATTGAGGCCTAAAGCCTGAGCTTTGCCGGCCTTACGATAGGGTCGGCCCTGGAATAACAAAATATACTAAAATTTGAAACAAAATTACAAAAATAGTAAAATTAGTTTTTATTTTGCTTAAACAAAAGAACACAAAATAATTTTTCCTTAATATATTTTAACTCAATCATTTATTATAGTGAAATAGAACATTCTTTAAAATCCCTACAATTTTTAAAAATTGATTAATTGTAAGTTAGATCAATGCGCACAATCATATATTCTGTAGTAAAATCATTTTTTATATAGTTGCAAAAGATAATTGAGGTCA